GCATTGCACCGGCCCTCTGCTGCAGTTCTCCATCAGGTCCATCAGCAGAGGGCGGGTGCAATGCTAGTTTACTATTGGCTATTGCAAATTGAAATAGCCAATAGGAATCTAGCAATGCATTCCAATGGGCAAAATTATTATTATTTTTTTTTCTATTCTGACACGGCTCTGTGTCAGAATAAAGAAAGAAAAAGAAAAAGCAGTGTATCTCTCCTGGGCTGCCGGGAGCGGGAGACTCCCAGAGAGCCCGGGAGAGTTCACTGATCTCTCTGTAAGTCGCCGGAGCCAGCCATAAGATCACGGCTGGCTCTGCCCAGCTGTCAGAAGCAGGCTGTCAGCCAAAGGTCGGCCGCTCGGCCAGCTTCGGCTTTCAGCGCGGCTCAGCCGAGCCAATGCATATGCACCTCCCTTGCAACCCCGTCTGATGACCACTGGGGTTGAGAACAGTAGGTTCAGGCAGGGGATGCACGAGTGCCGGATGCGGATCTTGAGGTCACAAGGTCTACTTGGTGACCTGGCAGAATAGCCGTCGTGCTAGAAGGATTCAGCAAAAGGGAGAGTGAGAGACAAGCCGGGTCAAATACATGCGGGCAGCAGAGTACCAGGGGTAAATCAGAGAAGGGTCTAAAGACAAGTCGGGTCAAATCACGTGCGGGCAGCGGAGTACAAGGGGTTAATCAGAGAAGGGTCAATGGACAAGCCGGGTCAATAACGTGCGGGCAGCAGAGTACCAGGGGTTAACCAGGAACGCCATCTGTCATTACACACTGAGAACAGGGAGAGGCCACTCTCAGTGTGTAATGACAGCGTCCCTGGTTACCAGCTAACCTGAAGTGGCCGAAGCTAGCCGTGAGATGACGGCTGGCTCCACCCAGCTCTCAGAAGCAGGCTGTCGGCCGGCCGATGGCCGTCCATTCGGCCAGCTTCGGCTTTCTGAGAACAGGAGTCGAGCCGAGGCATATGCCTTCGGCTCCACTGAGCTGCTCAGCCAACTTCGGGAGCTGTACGGGCTATAGTGAATAGCCCGTACAGCAGCCCTTCGGGTCTACTGAACCAAAGGGGTCCTGAGTCCGAAGCTAGCTGAAGGATCAGCCGAAGCTATGGCTAGATCCTTCGGCAGCTTAGTGAATAGGCCCCTTAATTGACTTGAATGATTATTGTTTTTCTCTTTTTCCAAATGACTCAACACCTC